TGGGAAGTGGTTTGTTTAATTTATGGCATTCTTACAAACAAAAGAAGGCCGGGTCCCTGCGCCTGGGACCGGGGCGAAAGTGCTCGCTGCGGAGCCGGCACAGCACCAGCCCGGCACATGTGGGGACTTGACTTCCATCTGGATGCTTTAGGAGGGGTATTAAACCGCCCCCCCGCAACACCTCCTACCTGAGCCCTCCCGAGTCTTTCCTGCATGTGAATGATCAAGGGGGGAGGGGGCGGGGGGGCGAGGCTGCAGCCCCTTCCTTTGCTTTCCCTTCTCTGGGGGGCTTCAGATCCTTGTTAAATGCCTCTGTATAACACCCCCTCCCCCCGCAATAGAGCAGGGGTGCTGTATTAAACGGCTCACGTTCCCAGCTCGCGATTCTTGAGATGGACTTATTTGATTTGATTTGATTACGGGTGCAACATAAACATTTCAAGCTCCCCTGGTTATTCTTGCAGATCCTTCCCGTGCCGGTGTAAGGCTCCCCGGTTATCAGTGGCAGCCGGAAAAGGCGACCCCTTTGTGCACGGACTCAGCCTCCAACCTGTGCGCCCTCCGCTTTCACGCTTTTCCCAGGCGCTTGCACTTTTGACCAGTCCCCTTTGTCTTGTCAGGGAGAAATCAACCAAGTTCCCGGTTCAGATCTGCCTGATCCGCCTGGTAACAGATCTATTCCCCTATTGGCTTATGCTAATTCCAGTTTCCTCTTGTATTGCGGCCCATTTTAAGGAGGGCGGGGGGTGGAGGGGAGTTCCCTCCAGGAATGAGACCAATTTTGTTTTAAGTGGGCGATCTCGTTCATGCAATATTGCCACACGCAGCAGAAGCCGGGCTGTGTGTGCAGCCGTCTCAGCTGGAGGGTGGTGGTGGTGGTGGAGGTGGAAGGGGGGCTCCGGAAAAGCTGTAGTTGATACCACTCCGTCTCATAAATCAAGGGCTCTTGCCACACCGGCGGGGATTTTTATGAATGAAAAAACAACAGTGCTCGCCTGGTTTCAGAAAGCAAATGCATGGCGAGGGCAAGGGTTTCATAGAGCAAATAATGCTTTGGGGGAAGGGAAAGAGAGGGAAGGGCGGCTGGCCATCGGCTCCCATTATTATTATTTATTATGACCCACGAGCACATATTTGAGGACCAGTGCTGCCATCCTGGCAAAGCAGAATATGCTCCAGACGTGCGAGGCCCGTAGGGCATTGCACCAGTGCTTGAAACCTGCACATCTGGAAATATCTTAGAGCTGGGGGAGGGAGGTAGAAACATGTAGAAACCCCTGACTTTGTCTATCTAGGTAGCCCGATTTGAAGGGAATGGAGGGCCTGCTTGTTGCAAGGAAGTGCAAACCTCTGAGGCTGTTCCAGAGTAAAAGTAATGTGTTTTATTTTTCTTGAATGCATGGAGTAAAGAATGCTAATGCTTCCCCCTTTCATAACTCTTCTGGGCAAGTCTGGTGATGAGGCACACACGTGGGGAAGACACAGGTAGCCCAGATCCTCCCTGGATCTTCTGAATGTCATCATCATGTAGATAAGATACAAGTAAAGGCAAGCATCATGCGGAGAGCTCACAAAGAGACACCGTGTACACGTGGAAAGCTGCAGCTTTATGCCCTATGATCTGTACTAGTGCTCACTATACATTTTGAAGGGGAGACCCAGACCTGACACTCCAACAAGCCACCTACAGCCACCGTGCTCATCTAATCTCAGTGTACTGGCGATGCTCTGATGAGTGCGACTGCAGTTTGGGCCCGAGGACGTATTATTTATTGTTACGTGCCCGCATTAGAGGGTGGGAAACCTTTCCAGCAAGGGAAAGAAAGGTACATTTGCAGATATATCTACAGCCTCCCGGCAAACAAGTGAAATTCTAGTTCCACTGAAGTCACTGCGAGTTTTGCCATGAGCTTCGCGGTTAAGAGCCCAAAAAACATGGAGTCCAAATGCTTTATCCCTTCCCCCCCCCCCCCCCCCAAAAAAAATCTAGATTGAAAGGGAAGAAGATAAACAAGTGTTTCATTCCCCTGCCCCAAAATATATTAAAGATATAGACAGCCGCATTGTGCTGAGGAACTGACACAACTTATTGCTGGAGTCACATCAACAAAAGTTTCAGCTGTGGAAGTACGGACTCCCTCTCTCCGCGAGCTTGGGATGGGCCCCTGGGTAACTCCCTGAATATTGGCACCTTCCCTTGGATTCCTCTTCTTTAGGTGTTAACTGTGTGGGAGGAAATGCTGGCCACCATTTTACTGCACTGCTGGGATTTTTTTTCTGGGTGGTGGTGTGTAGCGGGGGCAGGGTGCGGAGCTTTGCTCTGCGGCTTGGTTAGGGTTAAATGGATTTCACCCTGTGTCCTGCCTCCCAATGCTTTTCGCAGGGTAAAATGTAAAAGCCCCCCCCCCCCCC